CTGAAGTAGTGACTGTTTATCTAAGTTGCTGCTAATGCTATACATCTCCAATATCAATCTGGCTATGGAATAAAAAGAGCATCTGCCCAATTTATTCTCTGTATTTTCAAATTGAAGTATTTTTGTGTCAGCCGTTACTCAAGATTATTTCTGTACCTGTATTTGTGCTGAAATTTTTGGACAAGTTAAGAGCCTGATTGCTAATACTGAAAAAACACACAGTATCATAAGAACGTTTCAGAAGATTGAGTCCCTAGTTCTCTTTGCATTAATATCTTTCGGTATCAAAGTTTAAACACTTAAATACATATTTCCATTAGCCATGAAAAAATAGAATAAATCTATAAAGTAGATTTTTAAAAACAGTTCAAAAATCAGCATGCAGTATATCACGGATCCTTTCCCAGCAAGATCTAACTATTGCAACTGAAGATTTAATACAATTAATGCATTTGCTCCTCCATTGAGCACCACCTTACTGCCTCTGGGGGCTGCAAGGCAGACAATAAGCAGTTTTGCCTCATTGGAGAGGCTACGAAAGGGCTGCCTGCCATGGGTCTCATACCGGAGAAGACAATGCTTTCGCTGCCAGGATGCAAAGGATCAGACTAACAAAGCCTTAGGAGATTTCCTAAGGAGAGGACAGGCAATGGAAGAGAGATGACAGATAAACACTCTGCTGAAGCTTATGACAGAGTCAATACACTCTTACAGCAAAATGCTTTCAGCACTTATTGAAAAGACAAGTTCTTATTGATAAAGCCGAGTCCCAAGGAGCTGCTACAGCATCCTAGAACGTGAAACAACCATTCTGCTCTCAAAGGTCTCTTTATAAGACCTGTAAATCAGTCAGCAGATTTAACCCTCCGTGTATTCAGAGGCTTTTATTGGCTCACATTTGTGATAGAAATAATCATATTGCTTTTTACTCCCAGCACTGCAACAATATCTACAGTGTGGAGACATAGCAGCATTCTGCTTGCTTTCATGCTTTGCCAAAGTTTTTGATTAGCAATTTTTATTTGTGTAAACACAGAGAGGACGAGCAGCCCAGATACCACAAAACATAACAAACAGCAGGTTACAGAAGAGATTGCTGAGGCCCTAATTTGGTCTTCAACATTTTTTATCGTGATGTATTCAAAAGGGGGGATGGAGCCCAAGCATAGCTCTGTTTCCAGATAGCAGTAACAGACATGGGAGAGACAAATATTTTTACTTTTTTTCTTTTTTTTTTTTTTAAAAAAGAGAACTTACCTTATTTTAAATCCACCAAGACACTGTACACACCAGACCCTCACAACTTGGAAGAACAAGTATGAACTCTTTAGGAGGATTATAGAGTCCTATTTGACAAGTTAAACAGATAAGCTATTTTGTAAGTGTAAAATACATAGCTTCATTATGCATAACAGAAAGTCTATGGGAGCTCCAAGAGGAATTAAACTTCACAGAATCAAGCTCCCATCATGTTACATATTTGAGTAATTTTGAGAGAACCAAAGATAGCAGAAGAAGCTGTTAAGAATTGCTGGATATAATTGCTATTAGCCAGAGAAAATACAAATCCTAAAGGTTCTTGTTCTAACTCATTAGTTAACCTATATAATACATTAATTGTCCCACAGGCATATCTGGGCCACCATCTAGCCCCACAAACTGAGAACTGGCTAGGACTGATTTACTCTTTCCAGTTCAAAGCAGAGTCAGGCTGGTTAGAGGGCAGAAGGGAGCAGCCTGAGCACACACAGCAGGGAGGTCACTGGAAGGTGCTGAAGCACAACCAAAGGATTTCGGCATTTTCACACATGCTGCTTGCAACACACAAGCCTTGCTGCAACTCCAGACAGCACTTAGAATTTTACAATACTTTAGATTTTGTTATTTTTTTCTTTTCATTTCTTTTTTAAAATAAAATAAACTGTATTGACTTAGATGGGGGAAGGACTGTGCTGTGGTCACACAATGCTTAGTTCAGTTCCTTTTTCTCTAAAGTCAACCAAGCAACCAACTTACTTTCTTGAAAAAACCAAAGCACCATGTTTCCTTTAATAAAATCCCAAAGAGGGAGGCCTACTGAACAACCATTAGAGTCATACCTCAGGGTCCTCATTTAGGGTCACAGTCACCGAACACTGCCAAGGCCAGCAAGTGACTCCACCTGCTGAGCTCCTTCCTCTTTCACAGCTCCCAACCTCCTACCTGCCTCCTCCTACTCCTACAGCTCCAGCCCCAGGGCTGGGGGGTTTATAGGTTGCACCTGAGCCACAGCTGCCTGTGGCCTTTTGGAAAAGTGGAGGTGTCCTCCCCCGCCAGTCTGCAAAATGGAAGTAGCAACATGCAGCCCCCACCAGTCAGAGGATCCACCACCTGCGTAAGGATAAACATGTTGCTCAAGTCCTTGCAAGACAGATGCATCCATTTTGGAGATATTATGAACTATCCTGAGGGTTTTAATTGACCTTTCTAATTTCTGAGGAGAGATTGAAAGTACAGCCTGAATCTGAGCCCTCTCTGGGCTTTCATCAGAGTCTTTCTTTGTTGAACCTGGACCAAATTATTGAAAAAGTTTAACGTCCAAGATCACGATCAGGGTTCTGAAGGCAAAAGGAGGGTTTCATTTGTTTGAAAATACATAATATTCTCTGGAAGCCTTCTGTCTAGGGAGCCAAGGTAAATGAATAAAAACCTGCACTTAATCAGATATATTTTCCACATCATCTCCCCATTGCAAAGATCCAGCTTGCCTTGCCAAGAACCAACGCCTACAGACTCCGCTCACCAAATAACTATAAGAACAATCGCTGTCTATGAGTACACTATCACTGACCACGTTTTTTCTAACATTCTTTATCCTAAACTAATCACTTCTCTAGCTGTGAGTGTCTCGTCATCACCGCACGGAAGAAGCCTGACGTCCGTCACATCTTTCCACCGCGCTGCCAAGGAACGGCACACGGGAGGGGAGGAGTGGCCGTCCCCCGCTCCCGCGAGCGTCATTATTGCACTCCTCCTAAAGCTGAAATCTGTTTCCACCAAGGAAGCAACCGTGGCTGTTTTCAGTGTAACAGTCTGCACCACCAATTAAATAAAAGTAAAATTTATTTGGCATAAGACAGAACAATAAGGAGAAAAAAATCACATACAAAATAAATGTTAAGCAGAAAAACATCCACAGAACTAGACTAATATTTTATAAAAAGCTCAAACTTTAAGCATCTGATAAAAACATGTTACTTTCTGTTCAGCCTATGTTTTAAAATCTGTTCTTCTCCATTTCATAGTCGTGTGGCTTTAGACGTCCAAATTTAAAGTGTCTTCCTTTGTATATAATACTTTATGATCGTTCATCACAAACGTATTTCAAAAAGGCAACATACTGAAGTGTATTACTCCCTTTCTTAAGACATGCCGTTTCCATTTTTTTCTTTTAATCTGCCTACCTAACTGCCTACTCAGCAACTAAGAACATACGTGTGTGTCCTGCTTCTGCTGAATACCTCGAATGCTCCCCTTCTTGTCAATGCTCCAGATTTACACGTTAACTAACTGGCACAGGCAGTTTCACCTTACAATCAAAAAGGCTGCCCGTTTTCGCCTTACGTATATGAGGAAATACTTCATGAACTAGGTACATTTAACATGTTACTGAACATCTTTATGTAAGAGATTCTCCTCAACTTTCTGGTGAATACAGTTTGACAGATTAAAGTTCATACAACATATATTATACAGAGTCAATGTACCGCCATAACAGGTTCTGTTCACACATGACTGTAAGACAGCAGTGTTCACAGTATTGCAATGAGATACTACGTACATGCACATTTTATCTTGATTTGTATTCTAGTATTGACACGAAACCTCAGCAAATTGGTTTTTACTTCCATGAACACTCTTCTCCTTTTCAGAGTCCTGTAGTTGAATGGCCCTCTGTCTACGTCTCTTAATATTTGACGTTCTGCTTGAAATAATTCCCGGTTTGATCACCCAACTCCAGTCTTTGTTTCCAAGTGGAAAAGCACAGTCTCTTTTTGCATATTTTTGCACTGCAAATTGTGGTACTGCAATATATGTGAATGATATAGCAGTTCAGTTTCCTGGTCCTCTGCTCCAGTAGAGCACAACTTCTACAAGCGATGTGCAAACAGCTGTTGCGGCAAGTAGAAGCTACTGTCCAGCTTTCTAAATGACAAGCTAAGGAACTTCTTCAATAGTCAGTATTGCTGAAAAAACCCTGGTTCTCATGATTCTTTTAGTGCTGGGAAATCCTGGCTTCTAAACAAGAACCTTGCCATCTTATTTAAGTAGCTCATTTACAGAAATACATGCTTCCTGAATCACAGGTTGGGTTTCCTGTAATAACTCTGGACATTAATCACTGTGACCTCTTCTACCAGTGGCTGGTGCAGATATAACATGTGCTTCTCTTCCAAAAATATTGAGCAGAAATAATTGTTATATGGTACAAAAGTTATTCCCATTTTATTTACTTAGTTGAATTACACAGAAACGAACACCTGTGGCCACTGTCATGCAATGCAAGTCTTACTGATGACATAAAAAGGCAAATTTGAGGTGTGAATGTTGATAATACAACGCCATTAAAACAAACACAGTAAATCCTATATGCAAGCGGTGAATCAAGTTTAGCCCTCTAATAACCCATGCAACCATGCTGAAGTCAGCGGGACTACACCGAGAGCAGAGAGACACTGCTTCTGGGAAAGGGTTAGGTTTCCAGAGACACAACAACAACTTACGGTGAAGTTAACCAGTTCCCACTTGGGTCTCACCTAAAGACTGATTCTACAGTCCCTCCATGCTCTTAACTCAACCTGAAGTTAGCTGGCTGAGCATGTTACTAGAGCAGGGCTTGGCTCAAACACTATCTAATGCTACTATCAGCACTATTTGACACTAGGGCATGGGAGAACAATGCCTATTAATTTTTCTAGTGAGACACAGAAAAGTTGACTAAAAAAGTCATAAGGCACCACTGGATCAAACAGTTTTGTTTACTTCTTTCTTAGCATTGCATAGTGAAATAAATATTTTAATATTGATCATATTGTAAATAGCTACGGATATATGAAGCGATATACTGAATGATAAAATGCTGCATTGTTCTGGAATATATCTAGGGAATTTTACAGCAAAAGATACAAATAGTAAAGTTGTTGTTATGTGAAAAAATGCCTCTTTCGGCATTTTTAAGGTATTTTATCTACATGCCAAACATCCATTTCTAAGAGGTTTCAATAGTACAAGAAAGTGCTAAAAGACAAGCAGCCCAGGTTTCTTGGCATGTTGACTGAAGGCCTTTTACACAGCACATTTTTAAGTGCGATTGAAGTTGATTTGCCAAGTCTTTGGTTACTGCCCAGAATTTTTGGTCAGAAAACCTTGCTCAAGAGGTCACACAGAGAATATTTCGAATTATGCAGAGAGTTGGCAGAACAATGTGCAGCATTTTCAATGACTTATTCAAAGTAAAACAGTCATGCTGGAAGTATATAAGTTACAAAAAAAAGTATAGCTTTTGGAGTTTTCTCAGCTTTTTGGCTGCATAACTATTTGAATATTAATAAGGATTTGACAGGTCAATGTTTTGAAAATATTGTATTCTTCAATTCAAAATGTCATTCCTCATAAAGTTATAAGTGCTTCAGTTTAATAACACGAATACAATAATTTACCCTTTAAGTTATTATCCTAAAAATCTCATTTGGACTTCTATTCACATAATAGCATGCCAGAGAGATCAGCATTTTGCATAGTGCATATGTTTAAGTAAAATACATTTACAAATTCGGTATTGAACTGGGCTTGATCCCAAGGTGCACCTGTCACATGGAGGTCCCATTACTATCTATTTAAGAAACTCTTACAGCCATGATCCTACAATTAGATTTAGCTACATCCCTGCGCCTGCGCAGATTTAATTGCAGATTCAAGACCATAAATAGTAACTTAAAGTAGGTCATTAGATACAAAAATGTAAAAACAGGTACATAACCAAATGCTATCACAGCTATCATGATTTTGTAAACAAATATCAAAAAGGCCAAATTAAGTTTGATCTGGCCTAATCCAACTCTGTCTCATGCCCTTCGTTGGGACAGTCCTGGCTGTAAGGCAGGAGGGGGCTCTGGCCCTCCGTGGTCACTGACAACGCAGAAGACCCTACACACAAACGCTTCTGTGGGGTTCAAGCTCTCTTTGGCTAAAGTCTCTGGATTTCCAAGGGCTGACCTCATTCTGGCCTCAGAGTGCACTTAGGCTCATGTCTCCCGCACCAAGGAAACACTTCCCTAACCTACACAACTATTTTTTCTGATTTTTTTGAGCAATACTCTGTGAAACATGGCCACATACAGGCTTTGTAGGGAGTCCAAGGAGTATGCTGAAGAAACAGATGCTGCTGAGGAGACACAGGAGAATTTTTTCAGAGCTAACCTTCAGAAGTCCCATTAATGAACAGCTCTTAATCAGCAACATTTCAAATCCGGAATCATAGTCTTCCTCTGATTGCCAAAGACTTTTTACATTTACTTAGATCCGCTTATAAGATGCACTCATTCAATGAACTCTTTTTTCAAATACAAAATTCAAGAGCTTTTAAACAAATCAACCAACTGTCACAACATGAGAATACTTTACTCTTTCTTCTATTAATGTAAGACCAGCAGCTCTCTGCTGAGATTCCTTTCGGCATAAGTTGAAGTACAGGCTTCATGGCAAACTCAGAAGGCCAAACCTTTCCATTTCTCCCGAATGAGCGAAGACAGCAATTTTTGGAGCTGATGATCCCATTAGTATACACTAACCCCAGACCTCCTTCACTAAATCAAACAGCTTTCATTTATGCACGTTTTTTGACCTCAGCTGCTCTGCTATAATATAGGTCAAATACAGCCTCTCTGAGACTTGTGAGCTAAGCCCCAAGAAGCTTTTTTAAGTAAAAAACCCTGTGACTTAATTGTACCAAAGAAACAACTGGAGAGCTTATGCAATCTGCGGAGCACTGATGTTAGTGATGCTTCACAGAAAGAGTTTGTAACTACAATAATTGCTGCATTTGCACTAAGACTGCTTTCCGAGGAAACTTTGCATGTAGTCTCACGTAGAGAGGATTACAGTAATCCAGGCCCCGGCTGGCTGTGGGTTGGTCCACATCAAAGTAGGAAAGAATTAGGTGACTAAAAGCATAAGGCTATTACAAAACAAGGTGGGACGCATGGAGAAGATATTTTTATGCTGCTGAATTCTTAATTTGTGCTTTTCTTTGGAAGATCCTCCACAGAGGACACTCCATCCCCGGGGCAGGATGAGCCATCGATGTTTTAAAATATGGTTTGCTTGGCTAAGCTGAGGCGCAAAGATGTAGGTTGACGTCTTGGTCACCACGTAGTAGGATGGTGGCTTGCAGAAGCGCTTGGGCCAAGTTAAGGACGCAAAGAAGGATCCATGGAACTCTTGGCTATGCAGTATTCTCTGGTAATTGTTTTTTAAAAGGAAAATAGATTGTACTTTATCATTCAAATAACACAGCCACTGTACCCCAAATTAATGAGACAGCTTTGTTCCAGCCGTCATTAAATTCAAAGGCAGATCTCCTATGTCATTCAAGAGGACAGGGCTCGACCCCATACGCATGATGTACGTATGTTGTACATGGGCCACCAAATGCTTTTCATGACAGCCTGCAATATAAGCAAATAAAATTGATAGCTTTAAGCAACTATAGTTCATAAGCTGCACCTATTACTTCCGTAATAGAGACTGAAGTTTATTCCAGCTGACAAGTCAAAAGCAGAAATAAAGCAAGACAGACTACTTTCCGATGATGTGGACAGGAGAACTGACTCGAAGGAAACTTTAAAACAGAAGCTGCCCAGGGAGGGTCCAGAACCCATTTCACCTTGGTATAGGTGGAAGAGGGGGCGCACCTCTCTCTTTTCGGCCAGAGCCACCTGAAAGAGAAAGCAAGTTTTTTGCGTTACGCCTCCTAGCTTCTTTTCATGTGAGAGCTCATGTCCAAGCCGTTAAATAAGTAACTGGTGAAGAAATTCTCATTTTCTTGTCTAACCATTTTACTAGAAGTTCTTTGTACAGTTTCTGGTTAGTTTACTAAACAGCAGTATACAAATTGTTTTTTAATTAATGTTATCCGCAAATGGCTTGAAAGCATATGTATTTCTGTCCTTTGGCCCCTCTTCAGAACAAATCGATAGCTCTTGTTAGCCTTACTATTTTATGCAAACACATAAGGTCTTGTGCCGCTTGAACACATGCAAATTGCAATGAAAGCTCTAAATGTAGTAAGACCTCAAAGCTCTTAATATATAACCCTATATGAAGATTTTCATTCCAAACTCATGAAAGTAAATATCAATGCGTATATCTCTTTGCCTTTCTCTCTGGAGTAAGAGCATAGGTGAAAGCTAACAGTGCAAAGTGAAGGGTCAGAGACCAACAGGAATTTCTACTCGAAACCTTATCATCTGGAAACAGCAGAGATAGAGAAACATCGGAGTGTACAGATGATTACAGGGTAACTATGAGCCGCTGATGTGACTGGTTGTGAAAGAAGTAAATTCATCCTTGGGTGTATCGGGCAAGATACCACTAACGGAGATAGGAAGTATTTATGCTGCTGTGGAAGACATGGGTGAGACCTCAGCTGGAACAGCATGTAACACTGATCGGAAAAGACAGACGCAAACTGAAGTGGATACAGAAGCAACACTGATAATCAGAGAAATGGAGAGCCTATCTTGAAAGAAGAGAGTCTAGTACATCCTGGTTTAATCAGCCCAGCAAAACAGAAGCTGAGAGCGGGTATGGCTATTGTCTTAAAAAATATTGGGGCTTTCATACACAAAGGAGGGAGGATAACTAAACTAATGCATGAAGCTGGCACAAGAATAAATGAGCCATGGATGAATTTAGATGGGAAATGAAAAGGAAAGTCCTAGAGCAGCCTTCCAAGAGGAGTAACAGGGACAAACAATGATCAAAACGGCTCTAAGGCGAAACGGGATTTTTTGGTTCTGCCTGCCTGTAGCAGAAGGGTCCGGATATAATGACAGAGAAGGTCTCTTACAATATGAGTTCCAATTTAAAAAAAGGAACAATCCCTCTACCTCCCTCCATCCTACCCCGAGCCTCTACAAGGTGCAATTTTAAGAGGCCTTTTATCTGCAAATCTGCGTTTAGCGTTTTCTGTGTGGTGGGGAACGGTGATCAGGCTGTTAGTTCGAGAAGTCTGAAACCTCAGCACCCAATCTCTTCTCCATTCATGCTGTCTTTTAGGATGTTTGGTTTATGCTGACAAAAAAGGGGGATCAACAAAGGAAGCATTAGACTAAAGGAAGCCAAACTATTCTTGGTTATAATTGCCTTCAACTGATCAAATGTTTACTCCTTACTGGAAAATAGCTCTATGCTGTGCTAATCCTTTTCAGTTCATAGCTGATACGCTGAAACTCCAACACCAGAGTTGGAACAAACTTACCTCTGCTTTCATTTCTTGCTAGTTTACTTGGATAACTTTTGTTCACAGGTACATATGGCTCTGGAGGTGGCAAGTCAGATATAGGATGGAAAGAAAATCTGCTTTCCCACTCATCTGAAAAAAACAAACATACAGTTTACTGGTTAATTTTCTGACACAGCTACAGAAAAGTCATTTGACTTTAATATCACATTTAATACCTGATTTATATTGCAAAATGCTTAGGGAGCTGACTGAATGCTTAGGGATGCTGACTGAAACAGCATCCTACTGAGAAGTCAGGGAAGAAGAGGCTTTAGGTTAGCTTGAGAATGAAAATTCTTAATTAACTGATCACTCAGCCAATTTAATGGAAAGTCATAGACTGGGGAAGTGACCATTACCCCACAGAAATCCGTGCTACATTCCCTTCCACGTGTAATAGATATAAACATACATACATACATGAATATACACACACACATACACACACATATCTATATGTATGTTACTGGAAATGTACAATATCTCCTATTACAAAACTGCATTTTGTTCCTGGGTATAGAATTTTCTGATTTTTAGACTTTGTTCATATACAGAGCTCATTAAAAGCACACCGAGTTATAAGTAGTGTTTTTTGGGGTTTCAATTTTTATACAGGAAAAAGAAAATTTGGGGACATTGTGATAAAACTTATGCTGACAGAGAATCTTTTAGTATGCAAGAGGTGTGAAAAATGGCTAAATGCATCAGTATCTCATAGGACTACAGGGACCTTATTGACATATGTATTGACCGTACGGGTTTCTAAAGAATAAATAAAGCTGATCTGTTTCTTGGTTAAAACAATGGGGAAAATGTCTTTCAGCAGCTCTGTTCTGTACAGGAATTTGGATGTTCAAGGAGGAAAGTATGGGCCATCTCAGACTTGGTCATTTCCACACTTGGTTGCTTCAGGACTTTGCAACCATGACAATCTTGCAGAATTGTTTTATTTTATTGCATAATGTAATGAACAGCTGAGTAAGTTTCTCCCAGCAGCTGAACATGTGGTTATTTGCTGAGATCCAGTTTTTCTCTCCTTACTCCTAACGGTTGCAATTACAAACTGGCACGTGAAGGAGCTGCAGGTTCTAAACCCTGAAAGTGACTAATGCAGGAAAAAATGTGTTTGTGACCCACCTGCCTTATCTGATGCGTAAAGAAGGTCCAAAAGGGTTAGTTACAGATTTATCTTCTGTTTGCCTTTTTAAACCTTATAAATGTCAGAAACATCAATTTTGGCCTTCTGTAATTTACCTGAAAGGCTTATCCATACATTGCAAATATAAACCTTAATTAAAAAGAAAGCACGATAACTCTTTAAAACAAACGCAGCTATCGTGGACCTCACCTTTTCAATAAGCACTAGTAAAGCAAGAGAAACTCAGCATCTTCAACCGTTTTCTGACAAGCTCTTCCCTCATCTGTTTTTCAGCTTCCAGTTTCTGAGTCATCATCTAACTTAGCCTGAGACCCAGCATCTGTATCGACAACTTTGCACTTTTGTTCTGTGTATGGTTCAGATATACACACACACACACACACACACTATATACTTACTATATATACCATGTATATGTACTCCACTCCTACCTGGCAGGATTAACTGAGACTCAAATGACGTATCCCCGTAGCTCATAAATCAAGGGTCTGCGCTAGAAACAAAGCCCCTAGCCCAAGTCTGTTTTGCTGCGCTGAGGCCAAGAGCGTGCCCAGGGTCCCTGGCCAAGGCGACCCCGGCCAGCACGGCTTACCGTCGCACGGCTCCTGGAAGCCGTTCCTGAGGGCGGGCGGCGGCGGTG